CATGTGCTGATTGATCATACATATTCTAGTTTGTTGATTTGTCATGTTCTACTGTTTTGTTATAGATTGATCAGCTTGTTTTGATACACATCAACCAGATGAAAAGTTAACATGTTCATATTTATGTGATATAAATTAGTTAATCTAGAGTTGTTGTGTTGTTATGATCTTTTAGTTATTTGACTAAAGAGACTTAAATGTCCTCCTGGATTTCAGTTAGTCTTGAGGTTATGCTAATTTATTGATGTAATCTATTGCTTCAGAGACTTCTTTTAGTACTTAGAAAGGTGTTAACCTGTACTGGCCTGATTAAGAGCTTTGTGAAGTTGAGGTTAAGTCTCAAAAAGCCTACTGTGAATTAACTTGTTTTTGCTTTTTCTCCTTTTTAAAAGCAAAAATGATCTAGAAATATCTATCTTTCAAGCTAAACAAAACTCTTTTCTTATTGTTGCCAAGTAGATTTTTGTTGCCTAGAAGTGTTTGGTTGTGTCCTCTAAGGCTTGCTCTTGTGTAAAAAAGTTTTTATGGGTTTTTTAAGAAAATTACCAAAAACAAAAAATTTTTTTTAAAAAATGTGAATCAGTGGAAAGAGTTTTTATTCTCATTAATGTCTAATATAAATCACTTTCTATTTTAATATAAATATATTTATAATATATATATATATATTTTTTTGATAAGCTTATGCTTAACTTTTTTTTTTTTTTTTAAACCACAACTGGTATTAGATATGAGCGCTTTTATTAAGAATTAACTTAACATCGTAGATAATAAAATCCTGGGCATTATATCAATCATCTCATACAAACTATATATTTTCTATATACATACAGATTAATGATAACCTATCGCGATTTTCTCTAGGTGGACCCACTAACCACTCTGTGAGTGGGCAGATCTAGCTAGGGACCAGATGGTTAATACACAGTCATCGATGGCAAAACAGGCTAAGTTTAATATTGAGCTTTTATAAATTTTTAATTATATTTACTAAACTAGTCTATATAGTATGTACCTGACGGGATTTAATTTATCCTCAAATACTTTCAGATATTATTCACTCAGACCTCGGAAGGGGGCACTTTACCTTCTTTATCACCATCTGTGGCATTGGATCAGTTTCATTTGACTGATTTTCATTTAAGCAGAGCACCATATTGGGATATTCTGAGCTAGAAGGGCGAGGTCCTGGAGACTGCCAGGGCAGGAGGTCTTGTGGAGTGTTTATGGTGGGTTAAGCCAGAAGCCTTTTTTCATGCAATCTTTCCAGTAGTATGACCGTAGATCTCAGCCCCTGATCGACGGAAGGCCAGAAGTCCCATCTTTATGTAGCCTAATCTGATTAAAGCTTGTTCCGGATAATTGGGTATGACTTTCATAGGATAACTGGTAAACCTGATCAGAAGGGTAATTTTGATTTTTGGTCCTTAAGTGGTATTGAACTACAGACCTTGTGATTGCGACCTGAGAGCACTACCACTGTGCTATTGACCCACAGGTCTTCGCTGTTTTTTTTTTTTTTTTTTGACTTTGCATCTTTTTATATAAAGTATAACTTTTTCTTCTTAAAGGTTTCCTATTGTTATCAGTAGCTAGTGAATCTGATCTTGACATATAGTATATTTGTTAGTTCTTATGTAGTGATTTTATTATTCCTGATATCTATTATTGCTATACTCTGATATTCCATCTCAATATAATTATTTGTTTTTTTCTATGACTATTGTATCTTTGGTTTTCTTTTTTTTTGATAAGATTATTTGAAATATTTAATTCAAATAAGTTGTTTAAGTTAATAGATATTTTATATTGATACTCATAATAGTTTTTTATACTCTATACTAGTCTTTGATTCTCAATTATGATTTGTTGTTAAAATACCTCTTTCAAATCTTTTTCATTTTCGAAGTATATTACTATATAATCTTCTGATGTTAGAGTGATTTTATTTCTTGATATGTAAGAGACTTTCACTTTTGTCTAACTAAATAATTCAGACATCAGTTCTATAGATTTTCTTTTAATCCCATATAGTCTTAAGGAGTGACATTTTTTTTCTTTAAGTATTTGAGTTACTTCTTGATCATCCAATTCTTTTTGGACTATTATTAATTCTATTTGATTGACTTTAATTTTGAATACCCAATATTGTTTCAATTTTGCATGCTTATGATGTGTAAAGAAATGGATTCTGAATTTTTTTTGATGAAAAGCCATATTATATTCATAAATATTGATTATTTCTCTATATTCTTTTATTGCCTTTCTGATTGATTATTTATTATATTTGTGTTTTGTATCCACCAATAAAATATACTTTGGTTTGTTTTTTGCTAAAGAAAATTTTCTGGCTTGAAGAATCTTTTGTTTAAAGCATATTTTTGAAAGGTTGAATGTATACTTCTATCTTGATATATTTTTTTGATAAAGAAGTTTTCCTCTTCTTTTTTATCATGCTGCATCCTCCTCTTTATCAATACCAAAAGTAATCCAGTGGTTGCTATTGTTGAACTTGGTTTTAAAGAGGTTCTGTCTCTTGAGAATACTTAGGGTTCCCTTGAGATATTTGATTTTTTCTTTTTTGTGTTTCCTGATAATGTAATTTGAAGCACTTCTAATTTGATTATATCTGTTTGTTTGATGAAATAAGAATTAACTGTAGAATCTTGTATTCTATTGTGTGTATTGTAAGAAACATTTTCTGTAATATAGATTCCTTGAACTGTTTTCTTAATTGTTTCTACTTCTGCTAGCTCTATTATACTCTGGTCTTCCATTTCAACTTCTTTAATCAGCTGTATTTTCTCAATTTTTGTAGAAGTTAATTAAATATTTATTGAAATATTATCTGTTCTTCTGGATTCTTTTAAATCTTGACTTGAGATATAATTTCCTATTTTGTTTGTTAACATGTTACATATTTTTTCTTCAAACATAGGAGCTTTGAAGTCTTGTTTTTCACCTTATCCCTTTTTTCACAAAGTGATAATATATTTTTTTAGCATCTGTTCTTTTGCCAAGGTTCCAGGATTTATGTTTAATAAAGTGGCTAAGATGTTATCTAATATTGAGGTTGCATGGATTGCTTCTACAGGGATATGTGGCTGATCTCCTATCTTATGCTTTAGCTTATATTAGAGCATTTTTGTTTTCTATAGTTCTTGTTAGAGATTATAGTTTATGGTAATATTTCCTAATACTTTAAAAAAATTTTTTTTACATCTTTTCAAAATTTTAATAATGTTTTGCTCTTTTTGAGTTATATTGTCACATGAAATAGATAAACTATTATGTATATTAAGTTATTTTAATGTTTTATTATTTTTCTTCATGATGATCTATAAATAGGGTATTATATTGGGTTATATAATTGGATAATCTGTACTAATATATTATTTCTTTATATATTTTTGTCTTATGTATTGATCTTGTTTATCTATATATATATTACTTGTTTATTGCTTGTATTATATTTATATTTATTCATGTTACTTCTTTGTGATATACTATATTTACATGTCTTGGGTTGTTATTTTGTCACAGCTAAATTATATTCACTTTTACATGTTCATATTTATATAATATAAATTGATAAATCAATTGTTATAATTGTTTACTATCAATTTTTATTATTTGATCCAAGAGATCTGAATGTCCTTCTAGGTTTTTTGAGCCCTGACTTTGAACTGATTTATCAATTTGAATTATTGCGTTTGAAACCTCTCTTAGTGTCTAGAAAAGTGTTAACTTATACTGATCTAATAGATAATTAGTTTAATAATTTGGTAACAATAATTTTCAAATATAGAATAAATTATAAAAGAAATAAGGTTATTGTTTTTTAAATTAAATTTAAAAATAATTAAAGAATATATATCAATGCAAGTTTGTTATTATATAAAAATTTGTTAAATTGTCAAATATTATTATATAAATGTTAATAAAATAAATTATGATGATTTAATTGTTAGATTAAAAAAATTTTTAAAATTAAAATTATTTTATATTGTAAGTTTATATACAGTATATAGTATGTTAATAATTTTATTATAGAATTTTTTAATTATTTTAAATTAAAATTTCTTTAAAAATTTTTTTTTTGAAATTTAGTAATAAATTTTAAAACTTCGTAAACAACTTTATTAAATGGTTGTTAAATTATAAACAAAAAATTAAAAAACAATACCATTGTAAATTTTTTGATCTATTGTATGATTTATAAGATTTTAATTTAAGTTGAACTAATTTATTATAATCAAATTATAATTTCGATTAATCTCTTTTATTTTTAAAACGGCAATCCCATTTATAAATAATAATATAGTTTAAAATAATTTAAATAAGTGGTTTAAATGATAAATGAAAATTCCAAGGTTTTGCCCTAATCTTTATTTTAAACATAAACTTTGTAGATCGTTTATTAATTCACACTTGAGATTATGATGTATATTAAAAATTTGCTATTTAAGTCGGTCTATTACTTTTTAATCGTTTCAAAGATAATGATTTCCCCTTACGTATAAATATAACAGCATTCGTGCGACAGTTCGCTTTCCCCACAACAATAAATCGATTCTATTGCATGTATGATCCAAATATTTTTTAACGACAGTAATACACATTCTAAATACAATCGATTCGCCCTTTATAATGAACCTCTTTGTAAAGAAACTTTTGAATAGAACTAGTATTAAACTTTCGGAATTTAGGGAACTCATTGTAAACAATCTAGAACATGTTGGAACATGACAATTTTTTATAATGAATTCTTTTCCTCTACCAGGATAACGAGAGTTACTATGCACAGTATAAATCTTACAGGAAATGGCAACATAGCGATGACTGTATGAATCCCTGTTTTTAAAATATCGGGATTGTGCATTATGGAAGTTACGTACAGTATCGTGGGAGAATCGCTCTCCTGTCGGAATTGTTTGTTTGGACGTTTGCTTATCATATTCTTTGTCACTCTATTTATACAGTACCTGGAATGTAATCTCATGCGGAAGAAGTTGAGTGATAACACGCGAGTGAATGTATTTACAGGCCACGTGTTTCAATCCTAATTTATTACTCAATGACGACTGCTTTCGTTTTCTATGCACATAAATATGAGTTGAGAATGTCGATGTTAAGGCCAAGTATGATGAGGCTAGGGTGCTGCGCGAAATTTTCGGGAACGCATGGAAAAATCGAAAAAGAAAACATAGCGAAATTGGAATTTTCGCTCAATATGAAAGTTTGAATTTTTCTAAACCACAGCTGTCTTCTCTTGGAAAGATTTGAAGGAAGGAGCATTTAAAACTCGGCCAATAAAATTTACTCGGAACTTCCGGCTTATCTGTTAATCAATATCGGGTACCAATAAAAAATAGCAACCGAAATTGCCAATATTGGGCGAAGTCAAGTTGCGCAAAGCTTGGATTATGTGATGCACAATTTGGTCGCAACTTAATGTTAATGTCTGTATAACACTTTTCTGGCAAAGATGTTCCATGAGAAAACAAAAATTTTCGCAAAAAAAAACATTTAATTGATTACTTTACGTGAGTTGTGACCTGATGTTAGCCAAAAGATCACAAATCGTCTTACGTTTTTCCGATTGAGAAAGCCGGTTTTTTTTTGGCGATAATTGCGTAAGCTGGATTGGGAAAAATTTAAAACAATCTGATAACCTTCGATCAACATCTGCATGTACAAGGCTTTATTTAACCATATACGGTATGTATGTTAAATGATAATCAAACATTCAAAGTTCCTGTGTAGTTCGTGAAAATTTTGAGTAACAATCAATCAAATAAAATCGGATCTTTCTTTTTTTCAATCAATCTGCTCCGACAAAGTCAACTTTCTCGTAGCATAAGGCATTTCTGGAAAATGGAAAAGGACTTGGGAAATTCATTAAAAGAGAAATTCGAATTTCTTTTCACGAAACAATTTTTGATCATAAACGTCCTTGGCCAATTCCTTGCGTTATGCATCACCGCTACTATTGTGACGAGTACCGAATTGTTTAACCGCAATGCCATCTTTCCCGTAACGCAATCTGCTCTAACTTATTTTTCTCTACTCGTTATTTACACCCCTATAACTTTGTATCGAAATGGTTTTGAAAATTATGTTAAAATGCTTCGGGAGAGAGGTTGGAAATGTGAGTTCTTATTCATAATTCTATTCGACTGGTGATTGCGACTTTGATTTAGACATGGACATTAATCATGAAAAATCTTGCATCTAAAATAGATCTGATCTTATCGATTATTGATGTCGAGGGAAATTTCTTCGTAGTGAAAGCCTACAATTACACTTCATCACTCTCCATCACATTACTTGACGCATGGACAATACCCGTGGTGGTCTTCTTAACCGTAACATTTTTAAGAGTAAAATATCACTGGAGTCAGTACTTGGGGGTCCTGATATGCTTAATCGGCATTGCCTTGGTGATAAAAGGCGATTTTGATACTAACAATGAAGGCGATTTTAGTTATGGGGGCACGATAGCTAGCAAGTATATTTGGAATTAATTCGGTTGAGTCATTCGTGAGATTAGTGCTCAAAATTATTTGGTTTATAAATTTAGCCAAGGACCAGGTATTGGGCGACTTCCTCTGCATAATCGGTTCAACATTTTACGGTCTATCTAATATACTGGAAGAATATTTCGTAAGAAAGAGACCGTTTTATGAAGTTGTTGGTCAGATGGGATTCTGGGGTACCATTGTTTCTGTGATTCAACTGTAAGTTGTTATCTCTACCGAATCCCTGGATTCGTTCAATTAAACTTACTTGAAATGCACCATAAAATTCCTCCACTAATAATAATAATTTGTTCTGCATGTTCTCCTGACAGAACTATACTCGAACGTGATCAACTGAGAGACACACAGTGGAGCGGAGCCATAGGTAAAAGAAAAGAAAAAAAAAATCTAGAGAAAATCGTCTCTTCCATAACAACGTGACCAATCAATGTGTATACGGCATACTCTTATTGTTCGTAGTCGGTTTCATTATTGCATATAACGTTGCAATGGTTTGCCTATACACCGTCGCCCCAATCCTATTCAAAATGGCCTCCGCGACATTCTTCAATCTTTCATTGCTCACCAGTGATTTCTATTCTTTGATATTCTCTATATACTTATTCGGTTTTTTGGTAATGCGTCAATTATATCTTATCATTTCCACTCTTCGTTAAATCTTCTACCAGTTTACTCATTTCGCCTTACCATTCTTCGTTTCACAAAAGATGACGAAAATTTACGCTGCTGCATTCGTATGCACTGTGGTGGGTCTTACAACGTATTACATTTATCCCGCCGCAGAACCAGATATCGCGCCAGAGGATGATGACCGAAAGGTAAACGATATCGAAGGAGAAATCTCTTCTGAAGATAGAAAACTTCAGGAAAGTCATGAAGTCGTCGTTATAACATGATTAAATATCAACCATGTCGTAAAATATGAGGAGAAATTGTGTGCGAACAGAAGAGAGCGTTCATGTTGAAAGATGTTAATGCGAAGATTTTATTTGATGTCTTATATTGTGTACTGTTTGCGTTGTATATTATACCCTTGTACTATTATTATACTGTGTATGTACTGAAAATGGGATGCATAAATTTGGGAGCACTATACTTCAACCATCACTTCAATTCCTAATAAAAAGTTACCGTTTGGTTTTCTACAAATAGCCGAAAACCAAAGAAATGACGATTCTACAGACCTAATTAAATGGTGCACTTACGGTATGTTATGTGAGAGGATCAAAGGATTCTTAGTTACTGTACTGTATGTTCATAAAAGTGGCAAAAACCATGGTAATGAATCCGATTTTGTACAATCGATACTTGAAACAATGAAGTTTGGAAAGAATGAATTATTTCCTTAAAAAGAATGAAACAATTATAATTTCGGAATATCTACAATATGTGGAACGGTTGAACTTTACGAAAACAATTCTTTTTCTAACTAGATCATTGGTAATAAACTCAAAATGTACAGTATATGAACTAATTTATATAAAGTTTAATGTTCATAAATATTTTTATGACTACATTTTCGAGCCAAACTATTATCAGGGTGTTGCAAAAAAAAAAAAACGGCAAAAATTTTTTCATTCTTTCGATTGACTTAGCCTAACCAATTTAAGCCCCGTTTTGTTTATACAGGTCAGATGTGAGACATGTGGCTGCCTCGTGTAACTTTCGTACATTTCCCTTACTATAACTTTTGATTGCAGTTGTCGGTCAAAAATGTCGCCGTTCTCTAAAAAAGATCAAAGTGAAGTTATTTTATTATTATGGAATAAGGGTGTACAGACGGGTGACACCGCATTAGGGCGATTTTTATAACACAAAAAAATTACTACGCATATTTTTTATTTTTTATA